ATTTTTCAGAGTCCTCAGATAGATGCTCCACACATTCTGTCTAGAGGATTTATTTATTTATTAACTCATTCATTTTCTTTTAATTCCAGTATAGTTAACAGTGTAATATTAGTTTCGGGTGTACAATATAGTGATTCAACACTTCCATACATACAAGGATACACACAAGGACCAGTGCTCATCGTAATAAGTGCCCTCCTTAATCCCCATCACCTATTTCACTCAACCCCCCCAGTTAAGAATCTGTTTCTTGATTTCTCTCTCTCTCTCTCACTCTCTCTTTTTCCTTTGCATGTATGTTTTGTTTCTTAAATTTCACCTGAGTGAAATCATACCGTATTTGTCTTTCTATGACTTATCTCACTTAGCCTAATACCCTCTAGCTCCACCCATGTCATTGCAGATGGCAAGAATTCGTTCTTTTTATGGCTGAGTAATATTCCATTATATATATATAAATAATGGAATATTATATGTGTGTATATGTATAATGTATATATATATACACACACACACCACATCTTCTTTAAGCATTCATCAGCCCAGGACACTTGGGCTGCTTAGAGCTTTTAATTGCTTTCTGTGGGAGAAACAGGATGGCACGTGCTTACTTCATGTTGATCCAAACTGGAATCTGTATCCTGGTTTTTACCCTCTTCCTAAATAGAGTGTGCTCCCTTTCAATGCCCCTTTGTTGGCATTTCCTATTTGATGGCCTTTAAATATTAGTGTTTCTCTAGTTTCATCTCAAGCAATTTTCTCACTCTATACTCTCTCCCTAAGTTCATGTTAACCATGTTCATCACATAATTATGTATGTGCAAATATGTCACAAATTTCCATCTCCAGGCTGATCTTTCTCATTAATTAAAACCTGCATATCCTGGGGCGCCTGGGTGGCTCAGTCGACTGGTTAAGCGTCTGCCTTCGGCTCAGGTCATGATCCCAGGGTCCTGGGATCGAGCCCCACATCGGGCTCCTTGCTCAACAGGGAGTCTACTTCTCCCCTGCCTGTCATTCCCCCTGCTTGTGCTTGCTCTCTGGCTCTCTCTGTGTCAAATAAATAAATAAAAATCTAAAAAAAACAAAACAAAACAAAAAACCCCTGCATATCCAACTGATCCTTGATACTTCTACTTATAGGTCTCAAACTCATGACAAATTCAACATGTCTAAACCACAACTCATGATTAACCCTTCAACTCCACCATCAGCCTTTTTTGGCACTCAGAAGTCACCACTGACATCTTCAGGAATGATCAAGTACCTCACTGAGTTACCATCACAAGTTTATTACATGCGTATTTTTATTCAACAGATGCTCACTGAGCACTTGGTCCTTCACAAAAAGTCTGCACTAAACGTCCTCTCTGTGCCGGACCTGTGCTAATGCCTAGGTATACGATGGTTAATGAAACCGATAGAGCCCTTGCCTCCCCGAGCCCGCACACCAGCGCAACTGGTATGAAACAGCCAACCCACAAATTATTATCAAGTTACAGATTACGGTAAGTGCTCCTAGTAAAAGCAGCAGGAAGACAGAGCATAACACTTCCATGAAACTCGAAGGAGTTGCATGTACCTAGAGCAAAGGATGCAAACGGTGGGTAACCAGATTAAGAAAGTCCTTGAAATTGTGCAAGACTGTTGAATCTCAGATCTGTACCTCTGAAACAAATAATGCAATCTATGTTAAGAAAAAAAAAAAGAAGAAGAAGGTAGCAGGAGGGGAAGAATGAAGCGGGGGAAATCGGAGGGGTAGACGAACCATGAGAGACGATGGACTCAGACTGAGGGTTCTAGAGGGGAGGGGGGTGGGAGGATGGGTTGGCCTGGTGGTGGGTATTGAGGAGGGCACGTTCTGCATGGAGCACTGGGTGTTGTGCACAAACAATGAATCATGGAACACTTCATTTAAAACTAATGTTGTAATGTATGGGGATTAACATAAGAATAAAAAAAAAAAAAGAAAAAAAAAAAAGAAAGTCCTTGAATGTCATTTTAAGGACTTCAAGTTTTCAAGCCACTGAGGGATTTAAGCAGGGAAGTAACATGATCAGATTTTTCTACAGCATAGATCTGGGTTATGTAATCCATCGTTCAGCAACTGGCTCTCTGTCAGATGTTGTTTTCCCGTCTCTGTCAAATATATCCCTCTTTTTAACAATACCTGAAAAGGACCCCTTACCCAGACTCTAAAAGTTATGACTGCAATTAGTAATGGTGGAGATGGAATCTAATCCAAATGAAGGAATGCACCATTTACCAATACTTAACTTTAGTATTACCTATAATATATAAAACACATTTATATTTATATTCACTTGTTTTCCATAGCAACTTTATGTACCATGTGGCTATAACTACTTTAACCCCTAATCTCTTAGGTACCAACTGCTACAGAGAGATCTGCCCGGGTCCCATCATGAGTCCTTTTCTGACATCTGGGTCATTTCTAATCTGTTTCAGTGTCCCATTTTGATCCATATCCCATTCTGAAACTCGTTTCCATGCAAATTCACTCAGTTCCTTGTGTCAAAGTTGATGACTAATTACAGAGGCTGCTCAGTTGCTGTGTCTTTAAGTTCTCATAATTCACTTTTCAGAGTAAAGATTTCAGATATGTCTAAAACTCTGGTTATTCCTGTTTATATTCTGTAGCACAGATATTACCGTGAATTCTGGGAGGCAGATAATTCGTTCTACTCGAACATAAAAGCCAGCTCTATTGTAATAAAAGCCTCCTACAGAATGCCACTTGACAATGACTCTGAAATTACCAGGAAATGCATGTGGTATCTGGTTGTGAAAGTTGAGGTATCCAAACAGAAAAAACAATTACTTCTGGGATGAAAGCTTCGTGGTCAGCTCACCTCTACTGCCCCAAAGCCAACTACTCAGGGCTTGCTTTCATCCTCCACTATCAAACATCTCTTGGCAGCAATACCTGGCATCAAATTTGTCCCCCTGCTGCATCACCAGAATTTTTTTTTTAGAGAGGGGGGCAGGGAGAGAGGGAGAGAAAGAATCTTAAGCAGGCTCCACGCCCAGTGCAGAACCCAGTGCAGGGCTCAATCCTACAACCCTGAGAAATCTTAGCTGCAATCAAGAGTTAGACGCTTAACTCACTGAGCCACCCAGGCGCCCCAGCATCACCAGCATTTTGCTGAGTGATAATTTAAAGTGTCTCTTTATGTGGGTTACACATCCCTGAACATGTAACGGAAGGCTTAGATCTGAGGGGATGGCCTATGAGTGAAAGCATCCAGAACTCAATAACCAATACTAAAACTCTTTAGGTCTTTCATATGTTGAAATTTGTCAGGTGGGTTAACCTTCCTCCACTCAAAACCCTCTCCCCTTCCCTACCCCGGACATGGAAGTAGACAAATGAGAGGGCACACACAGAGGAACAAACAATGGAAGGAAAAACAAAAGTAAAAGGCAACACGGGAGAAATGAGAACGAATCCTACTTTTATTTTGGAATGGTAGATTTTTTGCTGGAAACAATGTCTCCCAAAGTATGGTAATCTCAAAATCTGTACCAGAACTTCTCAGGGATCTATTTTTTTTTTTAACATTTTATTTATTTGACAGAGGGAGAGACAGCGAGAGAGGGAACACAAGCAGGGGGAGTGGGAGAGGGAGAAGCAGGCTTCCCGCTGAGCAGGGAGCCCGATGCGGGGCTCGATCCCAGGACCCTGGGACCATGACCTGGGCCGAAGGCAGACGCTTAACAACTGAGCCACCCAGGTGCCCCATCAGGGGTCTATTTTTAAGTGCAGGCTATCAGGACCCCCCCCCCCAGAGCTACTGAATCAGAATATCTGGGAGCAGAGAGGCCTAGAGTCCACGTTTTTAACAAGCAAAATTTTTATACAAATAAAAGTTTTACAACAGCTAATACAAACATGGTCTCTGCAATCGTTGCCTATTTATATAAAGCAAGAAACCTCACTGCCCTACGGTGCTCCTGCATCATCTTCACAGGCGGTACTTACTTCTCACGGGGATTAGGGTAAAGCTGGTAAATGTATTAGTTTACCCAATGGCTGCTGTGAACCTGAACGGGACGCTCTCACAGGTTTCCTGGCCCTTGTGAAGTCAGTCACCCAATAAGGAGAAAAGGCTGACACACACAAAGCCTTCGTGCGGGGCCGAGAAACGGGTACAATTTACACAAGTGTCTATGCGCTGAGAAAAGCAGAGGCGGCACGTGAGCAAATCACACAGGTACTGGAGGCTTTAGTCAGAAAGTCAGGAGCTTTCACCAGGAGTTCTGAATGAGGAAGGGCAATCACGGTTCCACCACAGCAGTGGAAGAACACGCTCTGCAAGACAAGAGGAGAAATGTCGCAGTTCAAGCTGGGCAACTGGGTGATGTTGAGCGAGTCTTTTAATTTTTCTCTAATCTTCTCATTTGCATAATCAAGGCCAATCTCTATTATTTGTTTTCTTTTTTTTTTTAAGATTTTATTTATTTATTTGAGAGAGAGAAAGCACATGAGAGGGGGGAGGGTCAGAGGGAGAAGCAGACTCCCCGCCGAGCAGGGAGCCCGATGCGGGACTCGATCCCGGGACTCCAGGATCATGACCTGAGCCGAAGGCAGTCGCTTAACCGACTGAGCCACCCAGGCGCCCCCAATCTCTATTATTTGTTTCTTTGTATCTTTATGCGCCCACCTCATTCTAGAAAGGCTCTAAGGCAGAGAACATGCACCAATTTCTTCTGGCGCCAACACTCACTGGCTGAATTCATCCAGGTTTGCTGCAGGGGCAAATGTGCGGGAATGCCACAGACCCAGACTTCTCCAACCAGGAAACACAGCAGACAGAAAATACTACCAAATGCCAACTGCAACCTCCTACTGTCCACGGGCAATCACTTCGGTGTACACATATGTCACAACTGTAAAACTACAGGGCGAGGGGTGAAATCAGCATTCTAAGGGTGAGCAGAATTTCTGTGGTGAATTCTGCCAGGAGCGCACCCCTGAGTCAGAGACGTTCGTGTGCTTGATACAACGGTATCTTGCCCAGTACTTTTTTCATGGCATCTTTGACTTCTTTGTTTCTTAAACTGTAAATGATGGGGCTCAACATAGGGGTCAGCACTCCATAGAGCAGTGAGATGATCTTATCTACTTCTTGTGAGCTCGATGAAGGAGGCTTTAGGTACATAGAGAGGGCAGCCCCATAATACAAGATCACCACAGTCAACTGGGCACCACAGGTAGAAAAAGCTTTGTTTCTTCCCTCTGCCGAGCTGATTCTCAGAATGGTGGAAAGGATGAAGACATAAGAGATGCGAATTAAGAGCATGGGGATGGGCAGGAGAAGCATGCTGACCACCAGCATGATCATGTCCATGAGCAGTGAATCTGTGCATGCTAACTGCAGCATGGCCAGGATTTCACATGTGAAGTGATCAGTGAGATTCCCACAGAGGGGTACCAGCAGGGCGAAACTGGTTTCCAGCAGGGCGCTCAGACAACCCGCCACCCAAGAGGCAGTAGCCATGTGCACGCAGGCCTGCCTGTTCAGGAGGATGGGGTACCTCAGGGGGTTGCAGAGGGCCACGTAACGGTCGTACGCCACATGGCCAGGAGCATACACTCTGTGGAGCCCATGGAAAGGGACAGATACATCTGTACAGCACACCCAGAAAAGGTAATGGTTTTCTGGGATGACAGCAAGTTCACCAGCAAAGTGGGAACAGAAGCAGATGTATAACAAATATCCACGAGAGAGAGATTTCCAGGGAACAAGTACATGGAGGCTTGGAGGCGTGAATCTAGGATAATGACCAAGATCAGAGAGCTGTTGCCCAAGAGGGTTATCAGGTACATCACAAGGCTGAAGACAAAGAGAACAATCTCTAACGTTGGGTATCTAGAAAAACCCTCCAGGAAAAAAAAGCTCCAAATGGTGAGGTTTCCTCCTTGCATTTCCTTTTTTGCACCTGTAGTTATTCTGATAGTGTTCTCTTCATTTCATCTGAGGACATAAAGAGGTGGATCAAGCAGCATGTTCATTTAGTTAGGAAAACACTTTTGAACTTATTTTCACTATTATAAATACAATTTTACCACAAGAAATCACAGGACTTACCTATTGATCTCAAGGGGGAGAAAACAGGTTTGATCTACATAAAAAATTGATACTTCCACAGCAAAATTTAGAAGAGAGTGCATTTGAAAACAAGAATAAACACATTTAATACCTGAATGTACCCATTCTAATACCCATTCTGATTATATTGAAGAGCCAGTTTACAAGTCACACAAAATAAGCCACCTTATTTAAACACCGACACACCCATGGTACCGTCTCGTTCACTGTTGAGACCCATACCTTCGTGAGTACGTAAATCGTGCTAAATATTATTCCCAGGCAATACTCTTCTTCTACATTAAAACCCATGAAGGGGCGCCTGGGTGGCTCAGTTGGTTAAGCAACTGCCTTCGGCTCAGGTCATGATCCTGGAGTCCCTGGATCGAGTCCCGCATCGGGCTCCCTGCTCGGCAGGGTGTCTGCTTCTCCCTCTGACCCTCCCCCGTCTCATGTGCTCTCTCTCAAATAAATAAATAAAATCTTAAAAAAAAAAAAAAAAACCATGAAGATCTCGAATAACATTAAAACCCATGAAGATCTCGAATATGCAGAAGTTAAACTCCCTTTTTAAGCTACCTTAAAATCCCTTGGGAAAGAAGATTATGGATCATCTAATCATAAACAAGACGCTGAATGTTTTGGTTTTTTACATTTCACATGAACAGAAAAAAAAGACAAAGGCGTACCTTGCTTCTGCACTGATACTGCTCTTTATCACCTTCAATCATTTTCTTTTCCCTACTAGTTCTTTCCTTTCTATTTTTAGATATCTTCGTTCTGAAACATTCCCCACGTCGTCACGGTCCCCGTGCACATCCTACCTTTGCTCTTTCTCTCACAGGCAGATTCCTCTGTGATATGGTTTACTTACAATGTTTCACTCCTCACTTTCTCATCCCCTGTGTTCCTTCTTGGTTGGTCTTTGAACCAGCGTTTTCATTTGCTTCCCAGGTCCCATATTTCAAAAGCCGGCACACAGGGTGATGGTGTAATCACGTTGGGGGCAACAGCTTCTATCATGCCCCTGGATCCCCAGAGGATTTATCCAATGAGTTTTCATTATATTATGTTATTCTCTGTGACTTCTGCTCCATTGTATCTCATTACTAGCCTATTAGCAAGCCCTTCCGCTGTTTCCTATTTTACTCCTCAGTCCCCAAGCAGCTTGCATTGTAGGTCCAAACATTATCTGCTCCCGCTCAGGACACTGTTGGTATTCTAGGGAATGCCTATCAGTAGGACTTTCCTCTGCGGTCCTCGAGCATGCAGAGTTCGTGCTTCTCCTCCTAAGAGCTCCATTTTTCCTACATCACAGTAGGGAGTTCTTACTCATTTGTTGGTTAACAGATTATTTCTTAGGGATTTCTCTGCTAGATTTTATATTTAACAAATTCTGTACAAAAATTTTATATTATTATAAGATTATTTTAAAGAAACTAAGTGTGTGTGTGTGTGTGTGTGTGTTACTCTTAAGACTAGCAAAAAAGACACAATGTTTTTTTTAGAATGAAAAATCAGCCCAGTTGCCAGAGACTTCGTATTTTCCTACTGTTTAAAAATAATAGCCAGGAGGGGCTCGGTTAGTGAAGGATGAGACTCTTGATCTCAGGGTTTGAGCTCAAGCCCCACACTGGGTGTGGACATTACTTAAAAAAAAAAAAATCTTTTAAAAAAAATAGTAGCCAGGAAAAATTTGTCCTCCCATCTGAATTCCCTGTCATCAACTCCAAATAAAATATTGTTTAGCTATGTGCAAGAAAGAATGAATGTATCCATACTTAAAATGTTAAATGTATTATATAAAAATCAACATTGTAATTCATTTCTTTCAAAAGTATTGACTGTCACCTCCATAACTAAAAGTGCCAAAGGACAGCAACAGACATACTACATAAATTTAAATCATCTGTTTTGTTTGGGGGGCATACCTGTTGTCCCTGAGCAATTTAAAGGTCAGCAGCTATAATACACAGAGGTTTGAAACTTTAGATCCTTGAGGGATAATGTCCCAATGATCCAATTATACCAAACTTTTAAAAATTGAGACACAATGAGCCACAGTTCTCCCAAAATAGTTTCAAAGAACTCATAAAAACAAAGTCTTCTATTCCCACACACAATGGAATATTACTCAGCCACCAAAAAAATGAAATCTTGCCATTTGCAACAATGTGGATGGAACTACAGGGTATTATGCTAAGCAAAATAAGTCAATCAGAGAAAGACAATTATCATACGATCTCACTCAAATGTAGAATTTAAGAAACAAAACAGAGGATCAACAGGGGAAGTGAGAAAAAAATAACCAGAGAGGCAGACAAACCATAAGAGACTCTTAATCACAGGAAACAAAGTGAGGGTTGCTGGAGGGGAGGGGGTTAGTGGGATGGGGTAACTGGGTGATGGACATTAGGGAGGGCATGTGATGTAATGAGCCCTGGGTATTATATAAGACTGATGAATCACTGACTTCTACCTCTGAAACCAATAATACATCATATGTTAATTAATTGAATTTAAATTTTAAAAATATTTTTTTTTAAAACGACTTTTTTTCTTGAATGATTACAGTGTAGAATATTTAACAGTCTACAGAGAAAAGATATCCCCAGAATTCTAAGATACACATTTTTTCATTTGTGGAACTACTCCCTAGTTTTCAGAGTTTACAGGAAGAAAGTTTACTGTTTAAAGCACTTGTCCTAAACAACTTACCAGAAATTTTACTCAAAACACACATACTGAGGAGGGCCTCAAAGCAATGAACCCTCAGCAGCAATGGACACACCTAGCACCCAGATCTTGGTTTCTTTTTTTTTTTTTTTTTTAAAGATTTTATTTATTTGAGAGAGAGAGAGAGAGCACATGAGAGGGGGGAGGGTCAGAGGGAGAAGCAGACTCCCCGCCGAGCAGGGAGCCCGATGCGGGACTCGATCCAGGGACTCCAGGATCATGACCTGAGCCGAAGGCAGTCGCTTAACCAACTGAGCCACCCAGGCGCCCCCAGATCTTGGTTTCTAAATACAATTCTCACCTAAAAAGAAATGTAGTTCCCCTTTCCAAAGCTGGAGCAGGAAAAGACAAGACAGACCCAGAGCAGCTTACTGCACTAGAATATCAGGAAGTATGCAAAGAATGACAGGAAAATTTCAAAAGGCCATAGGAAGCCACTTGTGAGGTTCCCATTGGCCAAATCTGCAACAGATTATTTGGAGCATCAAAATAAATAATGGTTGAGAGACGATGGACTCTGAAGGGCAGGCAGGGTTCTAGAGGGGAGGGGGGTGGGAGGACGGGGTAGCCTGGTGGTGGGTATTGAGGAGGGCACGTTCTGCATGGAGCACTGGGTGTTATGCACAAACAATGAATCATGGAACACTTCATTTAAAACTAATGTTGTAATGTATGGGGATTAACATAAGAATAAAAAAAAAGAAAATAAAAAATAAAATAATTAATAAATAAATAAATAAATAATGGTTAACATAGATTATAATCCAGAGAATAAAATTAGAATGCATGAGTTCTTCTGAAAGAAAGTAAGGAAAACTCTTCCTTACAGGAGAATACCAAAAAAATAAATATAAAAGAACGATGTCGCTAGAAGATCATTACAGGTTGTTGTAGTAATAGATTAGAACAGGTAAACTGTTATAGCAGGTAAATGTAAGCATCAGAGTGGTCAGAAGTAAAAGTTGGATGAGAAAACAGGGTATTTACATGGTGTCAAAGTATCGCACCACAAACTACTGATTAATTTCAAAAACAAGGTAATAATAGCTTTCCAGCGGGGAGACATGGAGGGCAACCACCTTAACATCACCAACCACGGGACCAACGGATTCCATGTGCTTTCTAATACGATGGACGTAATACCACTTCTATGATATTCCCCATCAAAAATACATAACCTGAATCTAATCATGAGGGAAAACCAGACAACATTAAATTAAGGGATATTCTGAAAATAACCGGCCTATACTTATCAAAACTGTCAAGATCAGGAAACAAAGGAAAAGACTAAGAAAAGGTCCAGGAGATTAAAGAAACATGACAACTAAATGCAGTGCATGACCCAGCAGTCAGTATTAGACCATGGGGGCGGGGGGAGCCCTAAAGGACATTATTAGGGCAATAGACGAAATTTGAATATGGGCTGTAGATTAGATAATAGATGGATCGGAGTGAAAGCTCCTGATCTTCCTAACTCCATAGTGCATATATGTAGGAGAACGTCCTTGTTCTAAAATACTTCAGTAGCTAGTGGTACAGGGACAAAATGTCTCCAACTTACCGGCAAAGAGTCCATAAAAAATGTTCGCTCCGGAGCGGCTGGCCCTGCACGTGGCCCCACCGCTCCTGGAGCCAAGTCCCGGCGGCAGCGGCGGGCGGGGATCCGGGGCCCCGGGCGGTCCCCGCAGGCCTAGGAGGCGGCGACGCAGCGGGGCAGCGGGGCAGCGGGGCCGGGGGGCGGGGGGCCCGGGAGGCCAGCTGCGCGGGTGCGCAGCCCGGGCGTCCGGGCCTGTCCCGCGGCCTCACCCCGGCCTGCGGCGCCACCCCCGAGTCTGCCCGCCGGTCCCCGCAGCAAGCACGTGCGGGGCGCCCGGAACGGCAGGACGGCACGCGCGGGCGCCACCGGGGCGTGCCCCAGCCGGACCAGCAGGGTGAAGCGCATCCCCGACCAGCAGCCCTGCCGCAGCCCAAAGCGCAGAGGAGCCTGGCCCGGGGCAGGGAGAGTGCGCGCGAACAAGGGCTGAAGGCGCCCTCGGGGGCCTCGTGGCCCCCGGGCCGAAGCAGAGCCCCCCCCGGCCCCCCACAGGCCACCCGGTGCTTCGTCACGACCTCCCCGCGCAGCTGGTACCGAGGGGTCGCCCCGCCGCGCGC